AGCTATAATAAACCTGAATGAATAAGTTCATTGGAGTTACCCTTGTCTTCCAGTGACTTTTGTAACCTGCCCTCGCATATCACTTATATACTCCCCTGGAATTTACTATATTAGTCCAGAATTCTCTTGCTCTGCTATACCTTCATGAAACGATTGTCCTTTGTTTAAAAAATATAAATATGTCTTCTTTTGCATGTTTCTTTAGATCTTATCCTTGTGTGAAAATCCCAATGTACAGAAACTTGAGAAATCTTAGCTACTTTTGTCTAGCTAGTTAGCTTTGTATTCACATGGTTTCTAGATCCAGCCAAAGAAGCTGCATAATTACTAAGAAATGATAGATATCCTAGTAAACCAGTAGTGCGGGCTTAGCATCAAAACTGAGTCTCACTGGCTTGGCATAGGCCCTTCATGCATTCATCCTTATACCAATCATTTTAAATCTATCTATCTATCTATCTATCTATCTATCTATCTATCTATCTATGCTTCTATATATCTAACCAGGATATCATTGTTCTGATACTCTTTGAAGCACTTGCACATCCTGCACTGAGCCTGGCTATGCAATACCTCCAACACCCTGGAGGACCCATGTTGATGTTTCTTCTGCAGCTTCTCCATCCTGTCCTTGTGAGGGTCTCAAGCACTGGTCAGAGTTCAGAAGGGAAGAACTATATCTGGGGATTAGATACTCATGACTTTTACCCAAAATTTAGAGAGCTAGAAAATTAGTGAGTCATAGAAACATATATAGAAAGACATCGCATTAGAAGAAGTGTACACAGAGAAAGGCAAAGATGGAGGAGAAAGGAACATGAAAAGCACACAATAAGGGGGAGACAGAGACAGAGAGAGACCCAAAACCAACAGAGGCAGAGTGGTATGTGGACATGAAATGGAGGGACAGTAATAGATTGACTCTGCCCGTCCCATACAAACACACACACACACACACACACACACACACACACACACACACACACACACACACAGAGTCAGAATTGTCAGAAAAAAATAATTCTGAACAAAACGCCTGTTGGGATATGATTTAGGGATCGTGGGACACTTGTTCTTAAGTGTCTCAGTTACTTTTCACTCAATGCTGGTGAAAAAAAAGAACCCTGACACTCAAAATTAAGGAAGGAAACCTGTGGAGGTTTCAGACTATACTCAGCTGGCTCCCAGGCAGAGTGGCACATGGCAGAGGGCAGGAATACACGGCAACAGAAAACAGTGATGAGCAAAGGGAAGGGCAGCAGCTGCAGCTTCTAGCCAGCCTCTCTCCCCTTATGTTATAAACAAGCTATCCTTAGGCTCGCCAAATAGCTCAGCAGATTAAAGCTCCTGCAAGCAGGCACAGGGGCCAGAGGTTCAATCCCCAGGCCCCCCGTGCCAGTCCTACCCCCTGGGCACGCTGAGATGGCAATTGAGACTAGGCGTGGTGGCACGCGCCTGTGATTCCAGTCCTTGGGAGACTGTAAACAGGCAGATCACTACGAATCTGATCTAGTAGTGAGACCCTGAACACCCCGTAGACCCTCCCCTGAAATACAATAAATAAAAAAAAAAATAAAATAAAACAAGCTACCCTGGGGCTGGGGGTGTAGAACTCATACAATGTCCATGCCCTCCTCTTGCATAGGATGAAGATGTTTACAAACTAAGACTCCTGGCTTTCTGCTGAATCCACTTCTAAACTGCTCAAAGTTGACACAATGTATCAACCAGTACACTAGGTAGTAGGATTTGTAAAGCCAAATCATTATTCACTGACTATAAAATTACATTTTGGAAACAACAAAAGAAGAGCAAAACCCAATGAAAATAATTGTCAAGCGCTTGAGCAGACATTTGCCCAAAGAAGATACTCTACAAATGGCCAATAATCACATAAGGATGTTCAAAATCCCTAGTCATTAGGGGAATGTAAATCAGAACAACAATGAAACACCCTTTCACACCGAAAAGATTGTAATAATTTATAAGAATGACAAGAATATACAAAACTGGAACCTTTGGATGTGACTTGTGGGTGTATAACATTGGTGCAAGTGTTAACCACTTACAGTGGCATTATTCATAAAAGCTCCTGTGCCAGGGAGATAGCTCGGTGGAATAAGTGTTTGCCTGGCAAGCACAAGGTCTTGAGTTCAATCCCTAGTACCTAAATAAATAAATAAATAAATAAGAGCTCAAAGTACAAGGAATCTAATATCTATCAACAGATACATGGAAAAAAAACAGAGGTATGGAAAAATGTGATGTACCTATGCACTGGAATATTATTCAGCAATTAGTATTGAACACTGCTACAATGCTAATGAATGTTGTAGACACTATGTTCAGTGAAAGAGACTGACTAATACTGTATGATTATGTTTCTACTTAAGGGTGTAAGCACAGTGGGCAAATCTGTGGAGACAGAATGCACATCAGGGGTTGCCAGGGCCTGGAGAGGTAGTGGGAGTCTCACTTATGGGTATGGCATTTTCTTTCAGGGTAATACAACTGTTTCAGAACCTGATACAGTGGTAGTTGTTTAACAATGGGAATGCACAGATGCCAGTGACTTGCTCATCTTGTGCTAATGGTTAGTCATGCATGTTAATCCCAAAATAGTTTTAGTCATATGAATTTCACATTTATCAACACACACACACACACACACACACACACACACACACACATAGAGTTCTCTTCTCATTTAAGATGGTCATTGAGGGGTAACCACAGGAACAGACACAGAAGCAGCTCAGGAAACAGCTGCTGTTCTTGCAGATCATGGAGTGGACATCAGTGCATCCCCACAGGGTTGCAGGGGGAGCTCCGTGTTCTGAGACATGATAGTAGACAGGAGAAAGAGCAGGGCTTAACCCCAGGACTTGTTGGCATTTTCGTGTAAAGACAAGGCAGGGCAGGCAGAGTTCAGGACTGGCTAGTCAGAAGAGATGGAAGCACTCCTTGTTGGGTGCATTCTAGAGCAGGTGGGTGTGACACACAGCCCTGGGGCTGCATGCAGCCTTGGACAGTTAATAATGTGGCTCTAAGGGTATGGTATTGAAACAGAGACTGTGCAAGACACTACAGAACACTCTGTGTGTGTGTGTGTGTGTGTGTGTGTGTGTGTGTGTGTGATACAGTGTAGAGGTAACCCTGCCTAGTGCACCTGCCACATACAGTAAGTCAAATCTAAACCTGTGTATCATGTTGCTATGGTTTGCGTCTACTTGTTCCCCCAAAGCCTTGTAAAGTCATGGGGAAGTTTCTAGAGTTTGATTAATTCATGATCCAATGCTGGGATTATGGGTCTGAGTGCTACACCTTCCCTGGGGCAAATAGCCTGAAGGCAATATAAAGGAGGGGGAGAGGCTTGCTAGCTGCTGCAGCCACTGCTCCACTGTTTGCTCTTTGCTGTCTTCCACCACCATGAATGTCTTCCCTCTTCCATGTGCCACTCTTCATTGGAGCCAGCTGAGTATGGTCTGAAACCTCCACTATGAGCTAAATAAACCTTTCCTTCCTTCATTTTGGGTGCTGGATATTTTGCCCCAGTAACAAGAGTAAAGTAACCGAGACACATGTTCTTGGGCAACTTGCTAAAACACAGAGCTCACCCACATTACTTAAACATACTTACTTGTGTATACCTTTGCACACATGTGTTCATCATTATTAAGCAGTCATGTAAGTTTTTTATCTAATTATTAAAATTGGATTTGCCCTTTTATTCACAAAATAATTCAATAAGATAAAACATAGAAAGAAAGCCTTGTTGCTTACATATGTAAACTAGATTATATATTTAATATGCCACGGGGGGGGGGGAAGCAAAAGATTGGTCACCCATGTGCTGAGAATCCTGATCCCCTGCAGCTCATCCTCAAGTGGGAGTGATAGAAACTTAAATGGACATGTCCTTTACCCATTCATTTGCTGAGGCATTGGTGGGAAAATGAATACAGTTTGAAACTGTAATATTAAGTGAAATACATATATATATATGATAAATATATCGTATCTATCATGTATATGATAGATACATAGGAAATAAATGGATGGGGCAACAAGAGATAAGAGGAAAGGGGAGGAGGGACAGGGAAACAAAAGGAATTGAAGGAGAAAAATATAATCAAAATGGAGCTTTTACAAATGGGGACAGGACCAAGAGCTGGAAAGAGCAGGGAGGAAGGTGAGGTATAGGGGGCGAATATAGGCTGTTATGTACATGTACTAACTCCCCATGATAAATGTAATAATTATGCACTGTAAACACATCCTAATAAAATCTAGGTGGACAGTGAAGTGAAATAACTTTGGCTTGTGATGAGAACTCATCATTTAGAAAGTAAAGAACCAAAAGAAGAGCCACCAAAGTTAGGTAGACAAAGAATCCTATGCAAAGAGCACCTGGTCTGTGCAGAGTCCAACTTGAGTGAAGTGACAGCATTTGGAGAAGAGCATTCCCACAGCAGCAGGTGGCAGGGGAAAGTGCTGACATGGAGCGCCCTTGGCCTGACCTGCCCGGAGGTCTGATGACTAGAGGAGCATCCAGAGAATGCCTCAAGAGGGTGCAGCACTCAGGTCCAGAGTAGGCAGGGTCATGGGGACGACAATGAGTGAGGAGGGGCAGTGCATGTCACCTTGTTCTCAATTTAATGGGAAGGCATCCTTTAATTTAAAGGATGACAGCTCAGGGTCGCCATTCATACAGACAGCACTGAGGAGTCTTCCTGACTTGGTGGCTTTGGTGACTCTGTGCCTGAACTCTCCCACCTTCAACGGATATTGCCAGTCACCATGGGTCCTACTGATCCCACGTGAGGCTCTTGCACCTCTCCGTCCCCAGGGTCCCAAATCCCTCTTGATCTCCCTTAGCAAAATTTTGAGGGAAGTTCTAACCTGACATTATTATTTCTGACACTTTGTCAAGACCCAGGCCTCCAGGGACTTGTCTAATAAAGATGTAGTGACACATACTGTATTTGGAGCAGACCTTGTTAGTTCTTTATTGGAAATGGGATGCAGTCCGAAATGCGACAAACCTGAGATCCCATGCAGATATCAAGCTGAAGTTGTAGGTGGCTTCCTGTAAGCTCATAGCTTCCCTGGAAAGTATCATGGATCTGGCAAATATTACCATGCCAGTGCTCTTGGATGATGTGGACAGCATTGAGCATATCACGGTATCGCTGGCGGACGAGCCACATTCGGACCCAGGACTGCAGCTTCACTGTTGCCCCGATTTGCAGCTTATAGAACTCCAGCGCTTCCTGTTGCTGCTTCTGCAGTTGCCTGGTTCGTATCTGCCTCCACCAGCACTGAATAACACATGCCCTGAGGGCAGCGTGCAGCAGGGTTCTTCGCAGCAGTGTGCCCCGCCACCAGGCCTGGATCTTTGTGCCTGCCCGAACCATGTCTTCAGGTACCACCGTCTTTGAAGAGAAGGGGTTTCAAGGAAAGAAGAAAAGGACACTTGAGGAATAATCCCCAAAACCTTATCCCCAGAGTGTTTTTACAAAGTGCTCTAATCCTCTATCAAGCATAATGTCTTCTTCTGAAGTACAAGAGTGCCATGCAGGGCAGTATGTGAATAAAAAATGATAGGAAGGTGTCCTACCTCTGGCCGCTTCTCTGTCACGTCACTTAATGTACACACGCAACACCACCTCTGAGACTCAGTGTCCTCTTTCCCAGATGGAGTCCTCCTGCTCTTGCTACCTCACCTGCTTTTCCACTGATCTGGTTGGCCAGTTTGAGCAAGATTGCTGGGATCCAGAGGGTCTACCTGGGTCTGCCTACCTACCTGGCATCTCTCAATGCCCTTGAGACTCTCTTACCAGTGGGGAAGTGGCATCCTTTACTCACCCTTGCCTGACTCCACCTCCACCCCGGCCTGCTCCTTCTGTCAATCAAGACATGCTCCACACACTCTGAGGCCTTTCTTATCTATTTCTGCTTTTAGTTCCATGCCTTAAGCTTCTACCAACACACATATGCGCGCTTGTGCACACACACGCACACACACACACGCACACAAATGTGGACACATTCCCGCAGAAATCTGGCATTGAGATTCCCTTAGCATTCCCTAAACAGCACTGATGACACCACTCCCCAACTTTCAACCTCCACTCAGAGTTTCTCCTCCCCCGGCCAAGTCTGTCTGCCTCAGTCATCTGCTTTACTCATTCTGATGGAGCAACTGGAGAAGAATCCAGCAAGAATGAGTCAATCCTTATGCATCCAGCCTCATATAAGGCACTCAATTCTGGTTGTCTGGGACATTTTTTGGTTTTTGGTGCCTATTCTGAGTAATAGCCAATATAAACCCAATTTTCTCATAAGTTCACCTTGTTCTGGATAATATATTCCATAGTCATGTAATATGGTGAACCACAGGCGAGAACACCATCATTGTGATGACAAAGTTCAGAGACATGGCATGTCAAGGGTCACCTCTAACCTTAGAAACCTGCACCTTCTACTTTTGGGCTGGGGTTGGTGTTCTTGAGCCTTACCTTTTTTACTGCTTTCCCTTTCGGTGTTTTTCCATCATATTTGATTATGGTTTCTCTAAATTTGACAGCCTTCTGAAATCAGAAGGAGGAAGTGTTTTGTAAGGGAAGGAAGTTTATATAGTTATAAAGGTTGCTTATATAGGTTGCTGTCGGTATAGCTAGGTACCAATTTTTAATTCTTTGCTTATCTGGTATCCCTAGACATAGGGCCCATGCTCTGACTAACTGTGAAAAGCCACCTTCCTCCGCCGGCAGTTCCGGGGAGACTATTTACTTAATACTAAGTACTGTGACATTTAGATTCCTCACATCTAAATTGCAGCAGGCCCAGATCTGTAATCCTCCAACCACAAGTTGGCAGGAAGAGTGGAGGAGGGGAGAGAGCAACTGCATCATAGGGCTCCTATTATACTAGCGCCCATCACGATGGATTCAACAGTAGGTCCCTTGTTGGGCAAAATGTTCATTCTTTTCTACAGATATGCTCAAGGTGTGGTTACAGAGGCAAGGCACTAGAAGCACTGATCCACTGGCACAAAGGTATATAAAGTTGGTCATTTTCATCAGAATAAAATAATATATATCAAGAACTGTTAAATGTGCATCAATAAGAAATTCAATACTTGGATTTCAGTTCAATCATGCACTGGAACCAAATAATAATGAGAAAAAGTTAATGACAAAAGTCTTAGTGATTTCTTTCTTTTTTTTTTAATGAGTGATTTCCGAATGACCCAGAAATACTGGAAAAGATACCCAACATCATCAATCATGAAAAAATGTAAAATCCTTAATATTAGTCTTTTATTAAATATTAGTAAAATAATTTAGGTATATTTAAAAAGAACCATACATCATGATCTAATTGAGTTCCACCTAGTTCACTGTTTGAAAATCAATGATATAATTGTCCACATTTCCAGGCTGAAGCAAAAAAAATAATATGACCATCTTAATTAATGTTGAAAAAGTATTTGATAGAATTCACCCATTCATGATAAAAAGAAAAAAATGCTAAAAATGGGGTAGAGGGGGAACTTTCTTAAGTGCAAAAAGAACATATACAAAAAAATCCTACAGCTAACATTACACCTAGTAATGAAGCACCGAATGCTTTTCCATGAAACTGGAAACAAGGCAGAAATGTCAGTGTTCCTTAATCTTCTGTCATAGAGGGCTGGCAGTTACAGCCAGGGCAGTAAGGTGGGCAAGGGAAATAGGGCACAAGGTGAGGAAGAAAACCTTCATTGCAGATGGCATGGTTGTGTAAGAATCAGAGCCCTCCTAAAACTAATGAGTTAGTTCACCAACTAACTCATTGTTTTTTGTTATAGGATAAAAACAAAAACATCACATTTCTACCTGGTAACAATGAACTGATAATCTCCAGCTGAAAAACTAAATTCCACTTACAATAACTCTAGTGTGGAATACCAAATTGTAAATGTAGCAAAGCATGTATAGGATTTGTATGGTAGAAACTATAAAACACTATGAAAAATCAGATATATGAGTAGAGAGATGTAGGAATCATGCTTATAAGTTACAAGACTCAATACAGTAAACAAGTTACCTTATCCCCAAACTGCAATTTCACACCCCCCGTGGCTGTTTATGGAAACTTCTTTGAAACCATCCCAGCAGAGGAGGTGTGGATTCTCACTGCCATGTGGGAAGGGTGGAGGTCCACATGCCCCGCTCCGCTGAAGGATGGGTCAAGATGGGGACACAGATTTTTCTGTAGCGTTTAAGCCCAGCAGTTATTTTCTGAAAGTTTTATCTTAACACTCTGCCCCACTTCTGGTGTTTGAGCTAGAGCATTTGTTTTGCTCTGTCGTCTGTTTTGGGTGTGTGGGGTCTTTTGCCTTTACCCTTTGGGGTATCCTGGCTGATGGCTTCTTCAGCTCTGTAGCACAGAGAATGTGCACATGGATACTTTCTTAGCAAATCAAGATGTACCACTGGGAATGTCCAGTCTTGGGATTAAAAATAAGTCTAACATTTTGTGGGTTTTTTTACATATATTCTTCAAAAATGATTTTTGTTGTTTTACAAAGATCTGGTCTGTGATGGATCCAACTTTGTCCGATCTCTGGCCTGCCAATTGCTTGATATTATTATTATTATTATTATTATTATTATTATCATTATTATTATTATTATTGTTGTTGTTGTTGTTATGTTTTTGAGTGGAGAGAAATGTGGCTCAAGCTACACAAAATATAAAACATAGTTAATAAATTTAAGTACATAATAAAATTCCTTTATTTTTAGCTTCTGTTACAACTTTGGGAGCAAAAAGGAAGAAAAAGGCAGGCAGCAGTGGACATGGCTGGCAGATATCATTTTTAAAAAAATTATTTATTGATTTGGCACAAGGTCTCACTATGCAGCTTGGCCTCATAGTGATCCTCCTGTCTCAGCCTCCTCAGCACTGGGATTGCAGGCATGCACCACCATGGCCTGTTTCGGTGGCCAGCAGGGCATGTCTGGGATTCTGGGGCTGGCACTGTATGTGGTACCAGGAATCGAACCGAGGTCCTGGTCTTTGCTAGGCAGGGACCTAAACTGCCAAGCTATTTCCCTAGCCCAGATATTGTTAAAATGTTCTTTCACCAGACCGTTGGGAAGCAGGGGTCTTAGGAGAGATCACCAAGGTGATGACTGAGGAAAAATGGAAATAGAAGTCATTAGAGGCAAGGGACCAGGGGCTTGGAATCACTGTCCAGCCAATGATCCAAACAAACAGCAGTGTATGCCAGGTAGCAGAGGACAGTCCGGCTGTCCTGCATCTGGCCCGTACCCTGGAGAAGCTGGTGACGATGAGTGAAAAAGAAAATGGGCTCTCTGAGCCTTTGCTCCAGCAGTTTTACAGGATGCATCAAACTGGGCAAAGCAGAAGACCCCCAGTGTGTTTGTCACCATGAGACACAGGCAGTTCTCTGTGAATCATGCATGCGCTTCATGTAGTGGCTCTGAGGACCCAAGAGAGCTGGTGTGGGGGTGGTTTCCACTACTTCTATCCTGCTCCTGTTTTCAGCCACTTGTACCCACTGTCTGAGTTGCACTGTCCTCATTGATGCAGTGGGGGACCCTTGCTTTATGGACTTCACAGGTTCACAGAACTAGCAGCAACACTTTCTGATGGAAAGACCCTCTGTGCGTGTGTGTAAGGACCAAAAGATCCCTATGAAGAAGAAGTCTACATCTGTGCTTGCCCCTTAGTCCTCAACTAGGCTAACATGCTCAAACCTGAGGTCTCATTTAGCTCCACAGGCCTCTGGGGTCCAGCCTCTCTTTGCTTCTACTGACATCTGTGCCTATTTCTAGTCACTCCATCCCCTGCAGACTCAGGCTAACACATACTAACCTTCCACTTCCATGGATGCTGTGCACATAGATAAGGACAAGAGTTTGGGGATATGACACCAATCCTGAGCCAACTCAGTAGGATCAGAGGTAGTTCCTTAACTTTTAAGGACCTTGAGGTCAATCATTAATAGTCTTAAATTCTCTCATTTACATACCTTCGTCTGTTTTATGCCCTTTGTTTCTATATCTTGTTTATCCTTCTGCAATCAGAATAGGGTGAGAGAAAATGTGAGGACCAGCTGCTCTCAAAGACCCCAAAGTCTGCTCCCTATTCTGTCTAGGTTCCATAGAGTTATCTTTTCATAGAGAACTTTCCATGGCTGTATATCTCTCCACCTCATGGGGAAAGAGTCTGATTTTGGAAAAATGCTCAGAGAAATGGGCTAGAGGAGAACCTTCTCAAGTGGAAAAATAACATCGGCAAGATCTACTACAGCTAACATTGCACCTAGTAGTGCAGCACTGAATGACTTTCCATGAAACTGGAAACAAGGCAAGGGTGTCAGTACTCCTTAATCTTATGTCACAGAATGCTGAAGTTAGGACCAGGTGAAATCAGAAAAGTGGTAGCTGAAGGAGAAGGGAATTCAAAGTCATTGGAGGTGAAAGACCAGGAGCTCGGAAGCACTCTCAGCCAACTGTCCAAATAAACAAGGGTGTATGCCAGGTAGGAGAGAACAGCTGGGTCGTTCTGCATATGGTCAGCACTCTGGAGAAGCTGGTGCTAAGTACTAAGGGAAAATGGCGTCTCTGAGCCTTTGCTCCAGCATAGTTTTTCAGGAAGCAGCAAACTAGGCAAAGCAAAGGACCCCTAGTGTGTTTGTCACCATGAGACCCAGGCAGTTCTCTATGTTTGTGCTTCCTCCAGTGGCTCTGAGGACCCAGGAGAGCTGGGTGGAATTTTTCACTACTTCTTCCATGCTTGCAGGGAAGAAGTGGCTTCCCTTCAGCCACTTGTGTCCACTGTCTGAGTCACACTGTCCTCATTGATGAAGTGGGGAACCCTTGCTTGATGGACTTCACAGGTTCATAGAACTAGCAAAAATTTTCAGATGGAAAGACCCACTCTGTGTGTGTGTGTGTGTGTGTGTGTGTGTGTGTGTGTGTGTGTGTACACCCAAGGTGTTCCCAAGAAGAAGAATCTCTGCAACTTTCCTTGTGCCTTAGTCCTGAACCAGGTAGCATACTGACTCCTGAGGTCTCATTTAGCTCTACAGGCCTCTGGGATCCGGCTGTTCTTTCCTTCTACTGACATCTGTACTGACTTTGTCACTCTACCTGCCAAGACTCAGGCTAACCCTTAATTGCCTTCCACTTCCATGGATGCTTTATACATGGTTATGAGGGGACATCAGGGACAAGAGACCAATCCTCAGCCAACTCAGTGAAACTAGAAGTAGTTCCTTAACTTTTAGGGACCTTGAGGTTGGGCATCCATAGTCTCATTCTCTCATTTACATACCTTCAACTCCTTTTTCCCCTTTGTTTCTATATCTTGTTTATCCTTCTGCAATCAGAATGGGGTGAGAGAAAATGTGAAGGCCAGGTGCTCAGCAAAGACCCCAAAGTCTCTGCTCCCCTTTCCGTCTAGGTTCTATAGAGTTATCTGGAACTTTCCATTGCTAGTATATCTCTCCATCCTCTGGGAGAGAGTATGACTTTTTTAAAAAAAGGTCAGAGAAATGGGGTTGAGGGGAACCTCCTCAAGTGGTAAAAGAGCATCAACAAAATCTGCTACAGCTAGCATTGCACCTAGTAGTGCAGCACTGAATGACTTTCCATGAAACTGGAAACAAGTCAAGGGTGTCAGTGCTCCTTAATCTTATGTCACAGAGTGCTGAAGTTAGGACCAGGTGAGATCAGAAAGGTAGTAGCTGAAGGAGAAGGGAATTCAAAGTCATTGGTGGTGAAAGACCAGGGGCTCAGAAGTACTCTCCAGCCAATGGTCTAAATGAACACAGGTGCCATGGCAGGTAGGAGAGGATAGTTGGGGTGTCCTGCATGTGGTCAGCACCCTGGAGAAGCTGATGCTGATAAGTACGAAAGGAAAATGGAGTCTCTAAGCCTTTGTTCCAGCATAGTTTTTCAGGAAGCAGCAAACTAGGTAAAGCAAAGGACCCCTAGTGTGTTTGTCACCATGAGACCCAGGCAGTTCTCTATGTCTGTGCTTCCTCCAGTGGCTCTGAGGACTCAGGAGAGCTGGATGGGGTTTCCCACTACTTCTTCCTTGCTCATATCTTCAGCAACTTGTGACTACTGTCTGAGTCACACTGTCCTCACAGATGAAGTGGGGAACTCTTGCTTGATGGACTTCACAGGTTCATAGAACTAGCAGAAACACTTTCTGATGCAAAGACCCACTGTGTGTGTGTGTGTGTGTGTGTGTGTGTGTGTACCCAAAGGGTTCCCATGAAGAAGAACCTCTGCAACTGTGTTTGTTCCTCAGTCCTGGACCAGGATAGCATGCTAACCCGTGAGGTCTCATTTAACTCCACAGGCCTATGGGGTCCAGCCTCTCTTCACTTCTATTGACATTTGTGCCTGCTTCTAGTCACTCCACACCCTACAGATCAGGGTAACCCTTAATTGCCTTCCACTTCCATGGAAACTTTGCGCATGGATATGAGGGGACATCTAGGACAGGAGACCAATCCTGAGCCAGCTCAGTAGAATCAGAGCTGGTTCCTTAACTTTTAGGGACCTTAAGGTTGGGCATCAATAGTCTCATATTCTCTTATTTACATACCTTCAACTCTTTTTTTCCCTTTGTTTCTATATCTTGTTTATCCTTCTGCAAACAGAATGGGTGGGAGAAAATATGAAGGCCAGCTGCTCTGCAAAGACCCCAAAGTCTCTGCTCCCCATTCTGCCTAGGTTCCATAGAGTTATCTGGAACTTTCCATTGCTGGCACATCTCCATCCCATGGGGAGAAAGTTTGATCTTTTAAAAGAAAGCTCAGAGAAATGGGCTAGAGGAGAACTTTCTCAGTGGAAAAATAGCATTGGCAAAATCTGCTATAGCTAACATTGCACCTAGTAGTGCAGCACTGAATGACTTTCCATGAAGCTGGACACAAAGCAAGGGTGTCAATGCTCCTTAATTTTTCTTTTTGTATTTTGGGGAAGGGTCTACAGGGTGTTCAGGGTCTCACTACTAGATCGGACTCATAGTGATCTGCCTGTTTACAGCCTCCAAAGAGCTAGGATTACAGGCAGGCAACAACGTCCACTCTCAGTTGCCATCTCAGTGCGCCCCAGGAGAGGGGGCAGCACAGCAGGCCCCTGCACATGCTTTCAGGCACTTTAATCCATTGGGCTAGTTGGACAGCCCAAAAGTTGAGAAGGATTTTTTTGGGGGGCTAGCTCAGGATGCCTTAAGGGTAGGTCTGGTAAGGCAGGTGGAGCTGGGGATCTAACCCTTGTATCCTGTGCCTGACTGCGTTTGCATGAGCAGGTGCTTAAACAACTGAGCTAACCAGCAGGCCCCCAGTACTTCTTAATCTTATGTCACAGAGTACTGAAGTTAGGACCAGGCGAGATCAGAAAAATGGTAGCTGAAGAAGGGAATTCACAGTCATTACAGGTGAAAGACCAGGGGCTTGGACACACTCTCCAGTCAATCGTCCAAATGAACACAGCTGTCATGGCAGGTAGGAGAGGGCAGCTAGGGTGTCCAGCATGTGGTCATAATCCTGGAGTAGCTGGTGCTGATAAGTACTAAAGGAAAATGGAGTCTCTGAGCTTTTGCTCCAGCGTAGTTTTTCAGGAAGCAGCAAACTAGGCAAAGCAAAGGACCCCCCACTGCGTTTGTCACTATATGACACAGGTAATTCTTTATGTCTGTGCTTCCTCCAGTGTTTCAGAGGACCCAGGGAAGCTGGGTGCAGTTTCCCACTACTTCTGCCCTGCTTGTATCTTCAGCCACTTGTGCCCACTGTCTGAACCACACTGTCCTCATTGACAAAGTGGGGAACCCTTGCTAGATGGACTTCACAGGTTCATAGAACTAGCAGAAATACTTTCTGATGGAAAGACCCACTGTGTGTGTGTGAGGACCCCAAAGGGTTCCCATGAAGAAGATCTCTTCATCTGTGCTTGCACCTCAGTCCTGATCGAGGCTAACACGCTCAACCCTGAAGTCTCATTTAGCTCCACAGGCCTCTGGGGTCCAGTTTCTCTTTGCTTCTACTGACATCTGTGCCTAGTTCTAGTCACTCCATCTCCTAGAGACTCAGGCTAACACTTACTAACATTCCACTTCCATGGATTCTTTGCATATGGATAAGAGAGGACATCAGGGACTGGAGACAAATTGTGAGCTAGCTCAGTAGGATCAGAGCTGGTTCCTTAACTTTTAGGGACCTTGAGGTTGGGCATCAATAGTCTCATATTCTTTCATATTTACATACCTTCAACTCTTTTCCCCCCTTTGTTTCTATATCTTGATTATCTTTCTGCAATCAGAATGGGGTGGGAGAAAATGTGAGAACCAGCTGCTCTCAAAGACCCCAAAGTCTCTGCTCCCCATTCTGCCTAGGTTCCATAGAGTTGTCTGGAACTTTCCATGGATGTATATCTCTCCATCCCCTGGGGAGAGAGTAATAAAAAACGCTCAGAGAAATGGGCTAGAGAAGAAGCTTCTCAAGTGGGAAAAGAGCATCAACATATCTACTATAGGTAACATTGCACCTGGTAGTGCAGCCCTGAACGACTTTCCATGAGACTGAAAACAAGGCAAGGGTGTCAGTGCTCCTTAATCTTGTTTCACAGAGTGCTGAAGTTAGGACCAGGTAAGATTAGAAAAGTAGCTGAAGGAGAAGGGAATTCAAAGTCATTAGACGTGAAAGGCCAGGGACTTTGAAGCACTGTCCAGCCAATCATCGAAATGAACAAGGGTGCCATGCCAGGTAAGAGAGGACAATCATGGTGTCCTGCATGTGGTCAGAACTCTGGAGAAGCTGGTGCTGATAAGTACTAAAGGAAAATGAAGTCTCTGAGCTTTTGCTCCAACATAGTTTTTCAGGAAGCAGAAAACTAGGCAAAGCAAAGGACCCCCATTGTGTTGTCAGCACAAGCCACAGGCAGTTCTGTATTATCCGTATTTTCTCCAGTGGTTCTGAGAACCTAAGAGAACTGGGTGCAGTTTCCCACTACTTTTGACCTGCTCGTGTCTTCAAACTCTTGTGCCCCCTGTGTGATTCGCACTGTCCTCATTGATGAAGTGGAAACCCTTGCTTAATGTACTTCACAGGTTCATAAAACTAGCAGAAATACTTTCTGATGGAACGACCGACTCTGTGTGTGTGTGTGTGTGTGTGTGTGTGTGTGTGTGTACCCAGAGGGTCTCCATGAAGAAGAACCTCTACAACTGTGCTTGCACCTCAGTCCTGAACTAGCCTTGCTGGCTCTCTTTGCTTCTGTTGACATCTGTGCCTACTTCTGGTCACTCCATCTTTTATAGACTCAGGCTAACACTTATTAACCCTTCCACTTCTCCCCATTCAACTTTCTGTATCCATGGATACTTTGCACATGGATAAGGAGGGGACTTCGGGGACATGAGACCAATCCTGAGCCAACTCAGTAGGAGCAACAGTGGCTCCGTAATTTGTAGGTACCTTGAGGTCAGTGGTCAATAGTCTCATTCTTTCATTTACATACCTTCAAGTCCTTTTTCCCCTTTTCTTTATCTTGATTTTCCTTCTGCAATTAGAATTTTGTTGGGAGAAAATGTGAGGGACAACTGCTCTGCAAAGTCCCCCAAGTCTCTGCTCCCCATTTTGTCTAAGTTCCATAGAGTAATCTGGAACTTTCTATTGCTATACATCTCTCCATACCCTGGGGAGAGAGTCTGATTTTTAAAAAACGCTCCGAGAAATGGGCTAGAGAGGAACCTTCTCTAGTGGACAAAGAACATCTAAAATGTATTACTCAGCTATAAAGAATGATAAACTTGAAGCATTTATATTTAAGTGGATGCCACTTGAAGATATACACATAAATGAAATAAACCAGACCCACATGTATAAATATCATATAGTCTCCCTAGTATAAGAACTCAAAAGAAGACATACAAATAGAAAGACATAACACAACTAAAAGAAAAGTGAGAACTTGAGGATTGGATGAGGAGAGGGTAAAGAGCAAAGCTGGGAAACAGGACAGGGACAAAGCCATACACTTGTACGCACTAGATGGGTAATGCAATGATCCTGAGAAACATCAGCAGGTTTTTGAAACTAGCAGTTAATTGGCAGGATTCTCACCCTGACTAACTATATATGCTGATACCTGTGAACCAAGCAACTGCACTGAAGATAGCAATATGTAATAGAAAGTTCACGTTTGGAATGCCTGTCATTCTGGTCATCTAAATACATATTTCTTGTCATGACATACCAATTATTACCATACTGTCTCACAAGTAAAAGATTTTTTAAAAATGGGTAATAAATGAAAAAAAAAAAAGACACAAGAAAAAGAAAAAAAATGTCACAGGACTGTCCTGCTACAATGCTGTATATCGTTAGATTTCTAAATTTCTGTGTAAAAATATGTGTTTATCCCTATTTTTAATTTTTTTCTTCATATTCTGTAAGGACTTAAAGTTCAACACATCATCAATACTTGATGGAAAATACCTGTTTCATGTTATGCCTAAGATGTTTGATATTTAGACAGATAGTTAGAGTAAACCAAACTGAATATGTTGCAGGATAATAGTAAGCTCTTCTGGAGGGTTAAAAACCTAAGTTTGCAGATCAAAAATTGGAGAAAAGGAAGGGCTGCAGGGTCAGCCAACATTTTGGCCCTAGCTTTTCAAGGTCAGTGAAGACGGAGGACACAGGGGAACCTGTACTGTGACATCATGTAACTCAGTTGTGCCCCAAATTTTCTGATCAAGCAGATTATGGAGCTACAGAGGAACGTGATCAATGATGTATAGTGTGCCTAAGGAGAGTCACATGGAGAGAAAACTTTTTCTCAGGCTTTCACAGAGAGCAAATTGGTCAAACAATGGCCATGACTCTTCCACATGGCTGACACTGACAAAGGATCTACGAAGTGCAGTACAGGATTATAGGATAAATCCTGAGGGAACTAGACTGACTTTATCAGATACAAAAGTTACATTTCTTGTTATATAGGTCTTGCTTTATCTTGGTCTTAACCATCCAGCAGAAAAGTATAAAAACGAGGTATATAAAGTAAAGCCATATTAATATGCTGAGATGAAAAAGGCTCTAGTCAACAATTTCTGCAGATAACCCACTACTATTGTGGACTGCTGGACTGTGTTGGATTGTTTTGCTGAATCCAAGCATCTATAATATTTGGATGCCAATAGAATACACATCTCTGACAAGACTAAACAAAAAAAGGGGATACAAAGGAAGGACCATTTTGTATTTGTATATACAGAATAGTTAGGATAGATATACAGCTACTTTAGCTTAACTCAATGAGAAGAAAGATTTGTAGTAATAGTGTTTGGACAGGATATCCTGTCCGCTTCTTGTACTATGGATAACCACTAAGAAGATAACAATGTACAATGTATTAATTATTATTATTATTTTTAATCTTTGTTAATTTATTTTATTTTTTCCCATAATTTTATTGATAAACAAATAGTAATGAGACAGTTTCAAATCAAATTGGTAGTATATTAATTATTGAAAATGTCCTATTAATCAGCTTTGAAACTATCTCATTGCTATTTATTTCTCAGTAAAATAAAGTAAAATAAAAATAAAAATGCACTGCAGCTAACATTGCACCTAGTAGTGCAGCATTGAATGATTTTCCATGAAACTGGAAACAAGGCAAGGGTGTCAGTGTTCCTTAATCTTATGTCACAGAGTGCTGAGTTAGGACCAGGAGAGATCAGAAAAGTGTCAGCTGAAGGAAAATGGAATTCAAGTCATTAGCAGTGAAAGACCAGGTGATTGGAAGCACTCTCAGCCAATGGTACAAATAAACAAGGGTGTATGTCAGGTAGGGGAGAACAGCTGGGGCGTTCTGCATGTGGTCAGCACTCTGGAGAAGCTGGTGCTGATAAGTACTAAAGCAAAATGGCGTCTCTGAGCCTTTGCTCCAACATAGTTTTTCAGGAAGTAGAAAACTGGGCAAAGCGAAGAACCCCCAGTGTGTCACCATGAGACCCAGGCAGTTCTCTATGTCTGTGCTTCCTCCAGTGGCTCTGAGGACCCAGCAGAGCTGGATGGGATTTCCCACTACTTCTGACCTGCTTGTGTTTTCAGCCACTTGTGCCCACTGTCTGAACCACACTGTCCTCATTGATGAAGTGGGGAACCCTTGATAGATGGACTTCACAGGTTCATAGAACTAGCAGAAACTTTCTGATGAAAAAGACCCACTGAATATGTGAAGAGCCAATGGTTTCCCACGAGGAAGAACCTCTGCAACTGTGCTTGCCTCTGAGTTGTATCCAGCCTAGCATACTGACCCTTGAGTTCTTGTGCAGCTCCACAGGCCCCTGGGATCCAGCCTCTCTTTGCTTCTACTGACATCTGTGCCTAGTTCTAGTCACTCCATCCCCTATAGACTCAGGGTAACCCTTGTTTACCTTCCCCTTTCATAGATGCTGTGCATATGGATAAAAAGGGGATGTCAGGGACAGGAGACCAGTCCTAAGTCTATTTAGTAGGGTCAGAGGTGGCTTGTAACTTATACAGACCTTGAGGTTTGGGGTTAATAGTCCCATACTCTTTCATCTACATACCTTCACTTCCTGTTTTTCCTCTGGTTCTTCATTTTGAGTTGGCTTCTACAATCAGAATCAGGTGGGAGAATGGGTGAGGACCAGCCACTCTGCAAAGACCCCGCAGTTCCTGCTCCCTATTCTGCTTAAGTCCCATAGAGTTATCTAGAACTTCCCATTTCTGGTGCATCTTTCCACCCCTGGTAGTGAGTCTGATGGAATCTTACACAACACTGACTGCCCATGATGGAGAAGGGGCCTCAGGTGTCCATCCATTTCTGGTTGTTGCTCCTCTAACCCAGCCAGGGGCCTGGTCAGGTGGTAGAGCAAGAGATGGGCATGATGTCACAAGGGCAGATGTGACCCAAGAACCTGGTGGTCCTCTCCAGGCTCACAGCTGTTGAAGGAGGGGGAAGCCCTTGCCCCTTTTCTTTCTGCCAAAGATGGACCAGGATCTTCAGGCTTGGTGAGTGTATCTTGCCCCAAGGATGACCTCTGCTGTAGCCCACTCCCAGCCCCTTCCTTTAGCAGCTACCGAGTAGGGCAGCTCATGTGGTCACAGAATCATTGGCCCCCTATCATAGAACAATTTTGTTAGTATCCTTTCCTCTACTATCTTGGCCTTTCAGCTGTTTTCATAGTTGCCTTGCATTTCACAGACATCTTTAATTTTGCACTGAGGTCTTCTATCACTTAATTATAATGTTTGCTGAAAAAAGATCTCCATGAGCGCGTGCAAGCTGGTTCAGTTGGTCCACTCCAGACCACAGTCCCGGAGCACCCCCACCTCCGTGTGTGAAGTAGCTTCCTCCCTCAGCCTGCAAAGTTCCAATTTGCCATCAGAAAAGAAGATGACCTCTACTTTTTTCTTTTGTATTTTGATAAACACTGAAGAAGCTGGAGCTGTTAAATTTACCTTGGGAAATTTCAGAACTGGTTTATTTGGTGTTGTGGAAGCTCTTACTGCTTTGAATACATGACTAGTAGTCAATCATTTTTTATACTTGTTTTCAGTTTTCATTTCGACAAGCACTGTAATTATAGCTATTAGAATAAAGTCTCTTAACTATTTCAAAGAAAAAAAAAAGACCTCCATGAACAGTATATTAGCAGTTTAGTCCAAAATGATGTAACAAAAAAACAAAGGAAGCCGTTTCCTGACTTGCTTTTCTAGATTCCCTCTCTGCTGGCACAGCCCTTTCATTCTTTTATGTATTTCCTTGATATACCTCAAAACTACTGCATTGAAAATTCTTATTTTACACTTTTGTTCTCTACTGAATTCTTTTTCATTTGGAAGAAACAAAAAAAAAGATACAAAATTTCAAAAGATGATAAGAAACTAACAACGGTTATTATATTCCATATTGTTATCTTCAGAGCAGTTGCTCAGATTACCAGGTATAGGAATCCAAAACTGATCAAAGAATAGCAGCATTAATGGACTGATAGAAATTAGTAGCAAAATTATGTTAGCGATATATATATATAATCAGACAAATATATATATGACAAATGTATATAAAAAGACAAAAGAAGGAAAGGGGGAAAAAGGATATATATCCATCCCAGCTGTTTCCTTTTGAGCAGTTTCTTTACTTCCACTATGTCTATTTCCCTTTTGGATCTTATTTACTCTTTCAGTTTCTAACATGAGGGAGACCACTTTCCACACAAGTGGAGACTTCCATCTTCCTCTAGAGAGATGAAAAAGTCACAAGAGGATCAGGAAAACCTTCTCTCTGGGGGCACGCTACTCTGGGCACATGTTTTCTCTGGTTGTTTCTTTTTCTTTTTGTCTTTTGTTTACTTTATGAGACAGAGTCACACTTTGTAGTACAGGCTGGTTTTAAATTCACTGTGTACCACAGGCTGGCCTCTAACTCAGGGTGCTCCTCCTGCCTCACCTCCTGAGTGCTGGGATTCTAGGAATGTGCCCCATGCCCAGCCTCTCTGGTGTTTCTTGCACTCCTTGTGGCAGGGCAAAGGCTACATGTAGCTGTGGTGTCCCATATGCCCCTAAAGGGTGGGGGAGACTGAACCACATAGTTTTGTGCTGGGAGGTGGGTGGTGGGACCCCTGTAATCTAGCAGGTTCAATCCTGTAACCACGTGTATTTAGTCCTGGTTACACTTCTGACTCAGAGAGGGGATGCACCAACTCCAAACGAAAGCACCCTCTTGTGCCCTCCATGTTGTAGTTCAAACTCTCCTCAGCATAGGACTCTCAGTGAATTTATGTTGGAGTCACCCTTCTGAGCCAAGCTTGTCTCACAAGGCTGCCATCGACCCAAGCAATGCCGAGGGATGTCTTCAAAGTCCCAGGGATGAGAACTCGGTGGGGTTGCTGAACACCAGAACAGTACAAACTCAAACAGGACCTTTCTCAACATAGCTCATGACCACATTGCTCTGGGAGATCACTGGGAGATGGAGCACATTCCTCTAGAGCAAGCCTGCTGACCAGACCTAGATCTCTTATGTGTCCAGGCTGTGTATCTATCTGCAAGGTACACAGCCTGGCACTATCTCTTTCACCTTTACTCTCTCAGAGTGGGAAACCTACACACACCTCACACCCCAACCGCTGTCCGGCATTGGGACTAGATGAAAATTGCTGTAACATCTGTGTCTTTGCAATGTTCTTCTCCCCACTTTCTGGATGTTACCAGCTCTCTGTCTCTGTTGCTGAATTCCTGTGTCATCCCATGAGTATGATACTCGCATGCCGCTACCGCATACCTACTGCTTTTGTTCCATCTTGGTAGGAGAGCAGGCAAATTGTGAGGGCCTTGATTCCACTGTCCTGGCCCATCTTCTTTCATCCTTCAGAAGTGGTTGTTGCCTGGCTATATCCATGGAGGAGGAGAATGGGGTGAACCAAAATTTCATAAATAAATATTGCCTACCTTGAATTCTTCGTAGCTTCATTGCACTCTATGTGTCTCCTTTGCACACTGTTATTAGTTTTGTTAATAACTGTTAGTAGTTTTGTGATTCATTTACAATCCTACTCTTTGTCTCTTCCTTATTTTCAAAGCAGACTTAACTGGCTGAACATTTATTCTTTGATATAATTGTTTTGCCTGCTTGCCAGGTTCAAAAACACCTGATGAGTTTGGATAGAAATTTATTTTTATTTTATTATAATGGTAGTTTAACTGATTAACTGAGAGAACATTAACAGCCTTACAATGTTAAGTCGTCTACTGATGAACATTGCATGTCTCTCCATTTACTTGATCTTTTATATCCTTCTATACTAGAACAAAGTGGCTTTTAGGACTTCAAGGATAGGACCTTGAAGAGAAGGAGTAAGGCCCACTCCTTCCTTGCTGCTGATTGGATGGTGCGTGAATCACTGAATTAGAAACAGCCACTTTTTGGGTCACCCTTTGAGGGTGGGGAATGCATGGGGAGGAAAGGGGAAGAAGGACCAGGACTCCTCACTCCATGGAGCCCAATACCAGGTGTAGCCCATCTAGGGAAGGAGAACTAAACTCGGCATTTCTTTAAACCACTGTGAGTTTTGTTGTGCTGCTATTCACAGTCACCTTGAGCCCGAGTAGCTAAGCTCTCTCCTAGTGATTCTGTAAGGGGGCACTCAGAATAGTGGCCACAGCATCAGCTGGAAAATCATTAGAAACACGTGTTCATCTGCTTTCAGCAGCCCTGCCCCTGGCGGGGCCTGTGCTCACACTTGAGCGGCGCTGCTCTAGCTAGTTCTCTCTTAGCTGCAACACCCACCCCAGGATCTGTCCAGGGGAAGACTGCCCACTTTCTTTAGGGCAGAGCACAGAGGCTTCCGGGAAGTGAGAGCAGCCGCAAGTGTGTGCTTCGTGTGAGTGAAGGGCATGAGAATGCTCCTAGCAGCTCCCCGCTCCTGAATGCGTGATTCACGAATGGCTGATGAGTGACCACGGCTCCCTCCTGCTGACTCAGTGAATGAGGCAAATTCTAAAAGCATGCGATCTGGCTCATCAGTGGCCATCCATGATTGAAGTCATACTCAGGCCTTCTGGTTCCAGATGATCAGCGGATTTATACATTATGACTAAATCAGGTAGAAAAAGGGTGCCCTTGTGGAAGGGGATTAGGATTTGTTCAGAGACCAACCTGAGTGAAGTGAAAGCATTTTGAGAAGAAGATCTCCAAGGGAGCAGGTGGTCAGTGGAAAGTTCTGACATGGAGCACACCCGGCACGATCTGCCTGGAGGGTTGATGACTAGGAAGAATCTAGGGAATAACTCCGGAGAGTGCAGTGCTCAGGCCCAGAGCAGAAAGGGTCGTGAGGACCATGAGTGGGAAGGGGAAGTGCTTTCACTTTGTTTTCCATTTTAGTGGGAAGGCGTTAAAGGAAGAAAAAAATCAAGAATGGTACACAGCCCAAGGTCGCCATTCATACAGACAGCAGTGAGGAGTCTTCCTGAGTTGGTGGCCTTGGTGAATCTGTACCTGAACCCTCCCACCTTCGACAGACATTGTCAATCGCCACAGGTCCTGCTGACCCCACCTGAGGCTCTTGCACTGCTCTGTTCCAAGAGTGCCTGACATACCCTCCCTGCTGATCTCCTTCAGCAAATTTTTTTTTTGTGGTACTGGGGATCGAACTTGGAACCTGGTGCTTGCCAGGCAGGTGCTTATGCCACTGAGCTATGTCCCCAGCCCTTCAGCAAAATTTTGAGTGAAGTTCTAACCTGACCTCATTTCTGACCCTTTGTCAAGACATGGGCCTCCAGGGGCTTGTCTAATAAACATGTAGTGACACATACTGTATTTGGAGCAGACCTTTTTAGTTCTTTATTGGAAATGGGATGCAGTCTGTAATGCGACAAACCTGAGATCCCAGGAAAATATCAAGCTGAAGTTGTAGGTGGTTTCCTGTAAGCTCATATATGCCCTGGAAAAAGCCACGGGTATGGCAACTGTGCCAGCGCCAAGAGACCTGGATGGTGCGCACAGCCTTGAGCAAACGACAGTATCGCTGGTGGATGCGCCACATTCGGAACCAGGACTGGAGCTTCACAGATGCCAACGTTTGCCAGGCATACACCTCCAGCGCTGCCTTTCGCCTCTTCTCCAGCAGCCTGGCCAACGTGTGCCTCCACCAGCACTGGATGATCCATGCCCTCAGTGCTGCATGCAGCAGTGTCCTCCTCAGCAGTGTGCCCCGCCACCAGGCCTGGATCTTTATAGCTGCCTGCACACGGTCAGAAGGAGGCTTCTTTTTGAGCAACAGGGATCATGCAAGGTAAATAAAGAATATTTAGGACATATTCTCCAATACTTCAGCCCTGGGGTATGTCAGTGAAATTCCTCCATTTTCTTCCAGCAATTGCCTTTTCCTATGATGCTTGAGCACCAGGTAGGCAACAATGAAAGCCAATGACCAGGCAAGTATTCTGCCCTGGCTGCTTGTCTTTTTCATGTCACTTAATATACACAGACAACACCTCCACCTCTGAGACTCAGTGTCCTCTTTCCCATATGTGAGCCCTTCTGCTCTTGCCATCTCACCTGCTTTTCCATGTACCTGGTTGGCCAGTCTAGAGCAAGAATCCTGGGACCCTTAGGGTCCACCTACCTAGCATCTCTTGCCTGCCCTTCAGACCCTCCTACCTTGGAGGGAAGTGGCATCCCTTGTTCTCCCTGCCTTCTCTTCCCTGACTCTACCTCCATCCATGGCCTTCTTCTTCCTCATGCTCCACACTCCACGGGGCAATTGTCATCAATTTCTCACTTTCGCTGCTTTTGGTTCCATGCCTTAAGCTTCTACCAACCCACATATGCACACACACACACACACACACACACACACACACGGACATGTTCCTGCAGAAATCTGGCCTTGAGATTCCATCAGCATGGCCATGTATTCCCTAAACAGCACTGATGACACCACTCCCCAACTTTCAAGCTCCACTCTTCAGAGTTTCTCCTCCTCCAGCCAAGTCTGTCTGCCTCAGTCATCTGCCTTATCAATCCGATGATATAGCAATTGGAGAAGCCAGCAAGGGTGAGTCAATCTCTACACATTAAGACTCAGTTAAGGCATCTCCTTCTCCTATTCATGGGGCAATTATCGATTTCTCACTTTCACTGCTTTTGGTTCCATGCCTTAAGCTTCTACCAACAGCCAAATATTCTTGATTGCTGGATGCTGTGCTGAGTAATATTTAATAGTACCACCTTCCACTCTCAGAAGTATCTTGATTTGAACAATAAATTCTGTAACAATCTCATGTGACAAACAAGAAGGGAGATCTCTGCCAATCTGGTGACATCAATCAGAGCTATAGCAGGTGAGGGGTCACTCCCAGTTCTGGGAGCTTGCATCACCTACCTTTGGTTTTGGTTTTGGTTTTGGTTTTGGTTTTGGAGGAGGTGGAGGTGGAGGTTTTTTCTTATCCTTTTCCCTCCACACAGTGGTTTCATCAACATCTTCTATTATGATTTCACAACATTGGCCATCCTTCTGTAACCAGAGTTTAAAGGGAGAGATGTGGGTAGGCTGTTCACTGTACAACTGGTTGGCAATTTTAATACATACTCAGCTTCCTTAATCACCTAGTGTCTCTAGGTATAAGTCTCATGCCCTGATTATAGAAATCCCCCTTCCCTTGCCTGCAACTTTGAGGGAACAGGCCTTCTCTTACACAAAACCGAATACCCATGACTTCTAGGTAGATGGTTCAAATCCCTCAGGTCTGTGATCCCCTAAATTCCCCATGGTTAGAAGGTAGTTGTTTCCATCTTGCTCAGGTCTGTCTCCTCCACCTGCAAGGTGGCAGGAAGAGTGAAGGAAGGGAGAAGCTATGATGTCATAAGGGAACCTATGACATAAGCAAATAGATGACTTCTAAACTTGGGCCCTTTTCAGTGACAGTTTCCATTCTTTTTTGCAGAAATGTCCAAAATGTGGTTAAAGAGGCAAGACAATGGAAATACTGGTTCACTGGCATACAGGTGTAGAAAGGTAGTCATCGTTCTCCAGGTAAAAAAACATAATATTTAGACAATTTAAATATGCATCGGGGGCCTGCCCCTTAGCTCAGTTCTTTAAGTGGCTGCTTCAACAAAGCAGTCAGGCTCAGGTTACTGTGGTTCGATCCTCACAACTCAAGCCAGCCAAACCTGCCCTGAAGGCACTGGGGGAAATATATATATATATATATATCTCAATAGGGAATTCAATACATGGATTTCAGTTCAGGCATGCAGTGGAACTGAGCAATGATCAGAAAGTTTATGGCAAAAGGCTTAACAGGTGTTAACAAAAGGAGATCTGTAAATGGCTCAGAAACAGAAGAAAAGAAGTGAAACATCATCAGTCATGGAAAAATTGAAAAAGAGGCCACAGAGTTATAGCCCCAGGTATCCTGAAGAATGGCTAAAATAAGAAACAGTGATAGCATCAAATGTTGACAGGAACATAGAGCAGCAGCAAATCTTCTGTCCTTCTGGCAGAGCAGGTCAAACGGTAGACTCACTGTGAAAAGTGGTGTGGCAGTTTCTAATGTGTATCAACCCTGTAACTGAGCAGTTCCACTTCTAAGCACTTCTTTCTTTTTTTTTTTTTTCCTCAGTTGAATTCTTTTTATCCCCATAATTTTATTGAGAAACAAATAGCAATGAGACAGTTTCAAATCAAATTGGTAGGACAGTTTCAATAATTAACACATCGCATACATTCTTCCTAGGGGTTAATTGCTGTACAAGATGCGGACTTGATATCCTATTTACAAACACTATTACAACAAATCCCTCTGTTCATTAAGAGAATGTAACTATATATCTATCCTAACCACTTTGAGCACACAGATACAAAATGGACATTCGTCTGTATCCCCTTTTTTGTTTAGTTCCGTCATTTGAATATTATAGGTGTGTAAACTCAGCAAAATATTCTAAGAGTCCAGTAGCCCATAATAGTATTGGGTCTTCCACTTGACTGGCAATGTCAGAAATTGTTGACCTGAGTCCCCTACAGCTCAACATAACAGCATGGCTTTACTTCTTATATTTTGTTTTTATACTTTTCTGCTGGATGTTTAAGACCAAGGTAAAGCAGGACCTATGCAACAAGAGTTGTAGCTTTTTGGTCTGATAAGGTCAGTGAAATCCCCTCAGGATTTATCCTGAGATCCTGTACCTCAGATTGTAGAACCTTTGTCAGTGTCAGCCATGTGGATGAGTCACAACCATTGCTTGGCCAATGTGTTCTCTGTGAAAGTCTGAGAGAATGTTTTCTCTCCATGTGACTCTCTTTAGGCACACTCTACATCATCGATCACTTTCCTCTTTGGCCCCATAATCTTCTTGATCAGAAAATTTGGGACACTACTGAGTTATGTGATGTTGCAGTACAAGTTTTCATCTGTCCTGAGTCTTAATTGACCTTAGAAGGCTAGGGCCAAAATGTTGGCTTTCCTTGTGACCCTCCTTTTTTTCTAATTTTGGTCTGCAAACTTAGGTTGTTAACCCTCCAGCTAAGTACTTATTTTGACCAGTTTGTCACCCAGGGAAATAACCCAAATGTCACAAACAGATGATTAGAAAAAGAATCAGCCCACTGTTCATGTAATTGAGTAATATTCAGTAGTAATAGGAACACACTAACATACAGAATAATGTAGATGAATTTCAAAAATATGCTAAATGAAGGAAATCAGTCATAAAGAGTATTTGGCAGGTGACTCTATATACATGAAATACTAAAACAAACAAAACCAATGTATAGGTAAATCAAAATACCATGTGCATCTAGGGTATCTGCAATGGCACAAAATAAAGAGAAAGTGGTGGTTACCAGGGAATATGGAATCATGACAGTGCATCAAACCAAGCATTTCATGAAACTACAGAGAGAGTTTATCTCTCTGTACTAATGTGGAAGAGCACAAGGGAAAAGGTCAAAGAATAATATGATCAGTATATTTATATGTATGTGTTGCAACAACATTGTGAAGAAGCATAGGCAGTTGAGGATTAGGAAGACTTCCATGACAAAAAATGAGCACTGATTATCTTTGATGAGGACACTGGAATTCGGTCAATAGGCTAAGATTCCTCACTGCCTGATGCCTGTGTGTCTGGTCTCTCTGTGGGCTCTCAGTCATCAGCCTCCTGGGAGAGCAGCATGTACAGGCCAGAAAACCCTTGTAGCCCCATCGAAGGCTCAGATGTCTTTGTTGTCTTTCTCTGCCTCTGAAGGCCTCCAGAAGCAGGGCTCTATGTCTGCCTGTGCCTGGCTCCTGGAAAACCCACTTGAAACAGGAAGATTAGATGGAGTGGAAAAGCATATGGCCAAGGCCCGTAGGTCAACCTGAGGCCTTGGTTCCCCTCAGAGAAACTGTGACAGGTGTCACTGAGGCACACACTTGGATTGTGTAGGGTGAGCATGCGGGAGACTGATGTGGAGCTGTGGGAAGAATGTGGGGAAGGGACGAGGCCATTTCAGGCTGGAAGAGCAGTTGTACAACTGACAGGGTTAGACCTTGCTAAGATGGAGGGTTGAAGAGTTGGTGGCAATGAATGGGACAGGGAAAGTACAGGAAGCACTTGGACATAATTGTGTTAGACAATCCCCAAAAGCAGGCTTATCTCTCTGTAATTATCTTACTTAGAGCCATGGCCCAGATTTTTTTAAAGACTTACAATTTATTCAAGCAGAAAAATTTAAGACATCTTGATGAACTTTTTCCATTATCTTTAATAAAGATTCATCCCAATCACTTAGCACAGCATTATCACAAGTGGTTATCTCAAGCTGGGTGAGGTGTCATATGCCTATAATCTCAGCATTTAGGAAGCTTAGGTAGGACTATGTTCATGGCCAACCTGGGCTACTAGTGAGTTTAAGGCTGGCCTAAACTACATAGTTAGACCCTGCCTCAAAAACCCAACCAACAAACCAACAACTCAAAAAGAAATGGGTTTCTCTCCCTACTGTATCTCCAGGCATTATTTCATTTTACTTTTTTCTCCTTTTCTTAACCAAATACAATTGTGTTTATTTAGAGTCAGTAGAAAAGTATCCTAATAGGCAAGTCCTATACTTCACATTTATTTATATGTTTGATATGCCTGCATTATTGTCATTTTGTTTTATTTTTTCCAGTTATCACCTTTTATCTGTCAATTTCCCTATCTTTTGTTGCAGTGGTTAAGAATTCTTTGCAAACTCACCATTTGCTGGGGATATGGCTCATTGGCACAGCACCTGCCTAGCAAGCACAAGGGCCTGAGTTCAATTCCCAGTATATAAAAAAAAAACCAAAACAAAGCAAATTTACTATTTGCCTGCTTTAGAAGTTGACACAGGGAGATAGACTTTGTGGTTATGTTAAGAGTATCTGGGAATGGGAGGTGACTGAAGAGGGATGAGAAAGGGGAATTAAAAGGATCAACATACATCACATCTTGCAACAAGTATAATTATTACACATTGTGAACCTATCCTACATTTTTAAAAAACTAAGTAGAATGCTAGTTGCCTAGCCAGGTTCCAGTTTACTCCTTGATGGAACTGTGATGATTTACATAGTAGGCTGCCCAGATTTGGGAACAGGAGAAAAAAAGAGACCATTCATCAACCTCACTAAGCTATGGGTAGAGACTGACCCTCATTGGCCAATTAGATGTCACCAGAAGTCACTGGATATTCTGGGAAAGTGGTAGGAGTCTGTGTCAGGCCAAAGGGAGTTCTTGCCATTAGTCTCTACCTCTTTTATTTCCTGAAATGTATTCTTAATAGCAGGCACTCTGATAGCTCTGCAGAATGTGAGACAAGAGCCTCCCCCCATGAGCATGGAAAAGTAAAATGAGAGAAGAAGCCTGGATACCAGGCTCATATTAATGATTAAAATAGGGCTGGGGATATAGCTCAGTGGCACAGCACCTGTGTGTCAAGCATGAGGTCATGAGTTGGATTTCCAGCATCAAAAAATGAAAATAATGCCCTAATTTATTTGAACCTCCGTCTTTTAAGTTTCTGTGTAGCACCTAAGCACAATTCTTAGTTGATATAAAAAATAGTACAATGTATGTTTCTAATCTACAGTAACATTAGTATGTATATATTTATATGATTTGCTATTAACATGTGGGCCAAATCATTGTCTCTCACCTCAGTATAAATCAGGCAAAGTTTTAGATAGTTCCTTTCCCCCGCCTCCCCTTCAACAATCTCACATATTGTTAATACCTTGAATGTTATTTCTAAGTAAGGTTTATTTTTTGGTTTTGGTGCTGAGGACTGAACCCAGGGCTTCCAGCTTGCTGGGCAAGGTTCTATGGCTGAGCCAAATCCCCAGCCCTCTTGAATGCTATTTCTAAATTGACGTTGCACATTCCTGTCAATCTTTCAAACGGACGAATAAACATTCCTGGCTTCTCTGCTCACTGTGTGTTACAAGTGGAATTCTGAAGTTCAGGTGAGATTTGATCACTGTTGCAATAGTATTAAGAGGTAGAACATTTGAAGAGGTAGTATTCATTATACATGACCCAGTGGATGGTATTTTAATTTTTTTAGAAAATCATTTATTTATTTATTTATTTATTTATTTATTTATTTATTTAGTAGAGGGTCTCACTATGCAGCTCAAACTTGTAGTGATCTTCTTGTCTCAGCTTCCCTAGGACTGGGATTATAGGAATGCACCACCACACCTGGTTTTGGTTAGTAGCTCAGCCCTGGGCCAGCATGGCATGCAATACTGGGGATTGAATCCAGTTCCTTGCACTTGCCATGTAGGTGCTTAGACTACTGGGCCA